ATATATATATATATATATATATATATATATATATATATATATATATATATATATATATATATACTACATATATATACATTTGAAATGCGCGTATCTGCATATATACCCACATAATAAATACAAGCACCTGTAGATGCTTATATATATAGTTATATATATATATATATATATATATATATATTAACATTATATATATTCACTTGTTAAGAAAAAGAGATGCACTGAGCCCCTTTGTTCTCTTTAAAGGGACAGCTGAGTGCTGCATGCAGACTTCGTAGGTGTCTCCTTTTTATTGTTGGTAAAGATTTGCTGCTAGCGGAGATGTCTCCTTTTTATTAACGAAGACATGTCTTCCTCGAGGTGTCTCCTTTCTGTTAATAGGGGTCTCTCTAAGTTAAGCTGTCTCCTTTCTGAGAGTAAGGGTCTCTAAGTGAAGCTGTCTCCTTTCTTTTAATAAGTGTCTCTAAGTTAATCTGTCTCCTTTCTATTTCTAACAGACAAATATAAAGAGACAAAAACAAACCCCTACAGTCCCTGGGGGCCCCTATCCTCCCCCACTGTCCCCTCTTGGGGCCCCCCTATCAGCCTCTAAGGGGCCCCCACGAGGCCTACTATCCTCCCTTAAGATCCCCTCCTGGGGGCCCCTGTCAGCCTCTAGGGGGCCCCCTGGGGCCCCTGTTAGCCTATAGGGGCCCCCCTGGGGCCACTGTCAGCCTATAGGGGCCACTCCTGGGGCCCCCCTGCCAGCACCTAAGGATCCCTCCTGTAGGGGCCCTTGCCAGCCCCTAAGGGCCCCTTCTGGGGGCCCCTGTCAACCCCTAGGGGCCCCCTCTAGGGTCCCCTCCTTGGGGCACCTATTCCCCCCCAGGGGCCCCTCTTGGGGGTCCCTGTCCTCCCTAGGGGGCCTCGCCTGGGGGCCCCCTGTCATTGTTTAGGGGCCCCCCGCAAAGCAGCGTGTAGGAGAGTCTTTTAGGGGAATAAGAAGAAAAGGAGACAGCAGGAGATATAAACAAAACCCAGAAGCAGCGGCAGCAGCAGCTTAGAGAAGCCTGCATGCAACAGACGGTGCAGTCAGAAGGCCCTAAACATTGTTTGTTCAATCTGTCTCCTTCTGCTGCTTCTGCTGTTGCTTCTTGTGCTGCTGCTGCTTCTGCTGCTGCTTCTTATGCTTCTGCTGCTGCTTGCGCTGCTGCTGCTGCTGCTGCTGCTGCTGCTGCTGCTTCTGCTCTTTTGAGTTTCCCCTGCCAGGCTCCTGGGAAGGGGGCCCCCCTTGCATGCGGTGTCTCTTTGGGGGGGCCCCTTCTTCTTTGTGTTGTGCAGTATGTTCTTCTTGCTGATTCTCTCTCTTTCTCTTAAAGAAACCTTTGCGTTTGTTATGCTGTTTCTTTTGCTTTGTTTGCTGCTGCTGCTGCTGCTGCTGCTGCTGTTGTCTGTTGTCTCTTGCTGCCTTCGATGACGCCTTAGAGACAGGAGACACCCCATTCTGAGGCCCCCCTTCACCTCCTCCGCTGCTTGTCTCCCCCTGCAGCAGCAGCAACAGCAGCAGCAGCAGCAGCAGCAGCAGCGGAGTCCGACAAGCCGCAAATAATATCAACAAACCCTCTCTACGAAGTGTCTCCTCAGCAAACACTACCAAAGAAGTGCCTCTATATAAAACTAACTCCTATACAAACCCTATATAAGAAGATGAAGTGTCTCCTTAGCAGAGCCTATCTATGAAGTGTCTCCTTAACAAACCCCCTATACAACTGTCTCCTTATCTTAATAAACCTTTTCTATGAAGTGTCTCCTTAACAAACACTGCATATAAAGGGCCTCCTTTTCAGAGAGACAGACAGAGAGAGAGAGGGACGGAGACAGTGATAAATATAAATATAAATATAAATATATATATATATATATATATAGGCAGCGACGGACAGAGACAGAGAGACAGATAAACAGAGAGACAGAGAGACAAGAGAGAGGAGGAGACAGAGAGAGAAGGAGACAGAGACAGAGAGAGACAGGGAGACAGATAGACAGAGACATACAAATATAAATATAAATATATATATATATATATATATATATAGGCAGGGACAGACAGAGACAGAGAGACAGATAAACAGAGAGACAGAGAGACAAGAGAGAAGGAGAAAGAGACAGAGAGAGAGAGGGAGACAGATAAAGAGACAGCGAAGCGGAGAGAACTGCCTCCTCTGCATGCAGAGCTGCTCTGCTTGCTGCTAGGTAAGGAGACAGACAAACAAGGTGTCTCCTCTTACTGTGTGGCTGTCTTCAAACGAGAGAAAGTCTTCAGTAACGGACTTATCACTCCACTTCTCCGGGCCCCACACCTGCACAAACAAAACACAAAAAAATAAATTTAAATGCATCAACTAACGCCTCCCTGCTGCTTTGGTTTGCTATTGCTGCTGCTGTTGCTGCTGCTGTTGGTGCTGCTGATGCGATTGATGTTGCTGCTGCTATTGCTGATCTTGCTGCTGCTTTTATTGCTGATGCTGCTACTACCAGTGCAGGACTAGATGAGCTGCTGCTGCTGCTGCTGCTGCTGCTGCTGCAACAGCAGCAGGTGCATTATAAGGGTGTTTGTGTTTGCGTCTGACCTTAACATAGGGGTTTGTTTTGCTGCGGTCTTTCTTAATTCTCTCTACTTTTTCATTAGAAATCTTTTTTAATTTAGCAACAAAGAAGCCGTCCATATTATTAAGGTGAGGATACACCCGACGAGTGTGCAGAGACAGCGAAGGATGAAACT